AGCGACTACAGAGAAGAGTTTGAAGTCTGCACCATTTTTGATACTGTAACCTGTCAGCTCCAATATCTGTAACATAATAAATATCCTTTTTTTGTTTTCAATAGATCCTGTATGATACAAAGTATATTTCTTAGGCCTTATTTAACTTGGATGTCATTTATCTTCCTAGTTAATACACATATGTATTTCGATAGCATTTTAACCTCTCGCTGTCATAAAGTAGCTATCTACAGAAAACTCTAGAGAACTTAGGCCCAAAATGTTTGTCGAATATGGAAGGTTCTAAAATAAATCTGTACTGGTGTTCCTGAATTATTGCTGACAATTTAACCTGTTACACTGTCCAGACACTTCTCCTCCACCTGACAGTTAGCTGTTGATGGCCCTCAGGGTCACACGCCCTCTACCTGACAGTTAGCTGTTGATGGCCCTCAGGGTCACATGACCTCTACCTGACAGTTAGCTGTTGATGGCCCTCAGGGTCACATGCCCTCTACCTGACAGTTAGCTGTTGATGGCCCTCAGGGTCACACGACCTCTACAATTTAATCTTTAACCTCTAAACTTGCACTGTACAGATATTCCTCCTCTACCTGACAGTTAGCTGTTGATGGCCCTCAGGGTCACACGACCTCTACAGTTTAATATTTAACCTCTAAACTTGCACTGTACAGATATTCCTCCTCTACCTAACAGTTAGCTGTTGATGGCCCTCAGGGTCACACGCCCTCTATGATTTAATCTGTAACCTCTAAACTTACACTGTACAGACATTCCTCCTCTACCTGACAGTTAGCCGTTGATGGCCCTCAGGGTCACACGCCCTCTAGAATTCAACCTTTAACCTCTAAACTTACACTGTACAGATATTCCTCCTCTACCAGACAGTTAGCTGTTGATGGCCCTCAGGGTCACACGCCCTCTATAATTTAATCTGTAACCTCTAAACTTACACTGTACAGATATTCCTCCTCTACCTGACAGTTAGCAGTTGATGGCCCTCAGGGTCACACGACCTCTAGTATTTAATCTTTAACCTCTAAACTCACACTGTACATATATTCCTCCTCTACCTGACAGTTAGCAGTTGATGGCCCTCAGGGTCACACGCCCTCTAGAATTCAACCTTTAACCTCTAAACTTACTCTGTACAGATATTCCTCCTCTACCTGACAGTTAGCAGTTGATGGCCCTCAGGGTCACACGCCCTCTAGAATTCAACCTTTAACCTCTAAACTTACCCTGTACAGATATTCCTCCTCTACCTGACAGTTAGCCGTTGATGGCCCTCAGGGTCACACGACCTCTAGTATTTAATCTTTAACCTCTAAACTTGCACTGTACAGATATTCCTCCTCTCCCTGACAGTTAGCTGTTGATGGCCCTCAGGGTCACACGACCTCTACGATTTAATCTTTAACCTCTAAACTTACACTGTACATATATTCCTCCTCTACCTGACAGTTAGCTGTTGATGGCCCTCAGGGTCACACGACCTCTAAGATTTAATCTGTAACCTCTAAACTTACACTGTACAGATATTCCTCCTCCACCTGACTTCAGGGTCACATGACCTCTAGTATTCAACCTTTAACATATCAACTTACCCTGTACAGATACTCCTCCTCTGCATGAGAAAGTTTGTTGTTGACTTCAGGGTCACATGACCTCTAGTATTCAGCCTTTAACATATCAACTTACCCTGTACAGGTACTCCTCCTCTGCATGAGACAGTTTGTTGTTGATAGCCCTCAGTGCCACCATTACCTCTGTTGCAGACAGCCAGCCTCGCTTTTCATCATCAACCTTGTCATTGTTTAAGAAAATGCAATGTATCAATACATTAAACATGTACCTCAACTTAAAGAAAATCCAGTCTCATCCCCAAACCGTTTATTTTCTCCTTTCGTACCATACAATACTTTCTGGAATATTGGCAATAAAGCATTTTACATAAGTATAATCAAACAAGCTAAATTTACCACACTGTGATTAAACTACTGGGCACCCACATCTCTGATGGGGTCCTCAAATAATGATCTATAAACAACACAACCTCATCAGGCTTTCTATGGATAAAAATGTGACGATAAAGTATCGTATACAAGCTTAAAATATGAATCTACACTAGGTTCGTGTGATTTTTAACATGAAAAGTGAAAAATAATTAAAATATATAGAAAACTTACGTTGTCAAAGGTGTGTTTAAACATCTCAACATTGGCTTTGTTGAAGATACAATACTTGGCCAGGAAACCATCTGTGAATGAGATATATTGTCATAAATATCCTTTTAATAATTTACCAGTTTTCATTAAACAGAAAAATATGAGTCATCAAAACTAGGCCCTTCTTCCTCCCCTTCCCTAGCTATGAGTCCATTGTATTACTTACAATCGTCAAAATTTGGCCCATCCTCTCCTCCGTCACTCCCCATATCCCCTTGTTGTTTCCTGGCCCTGGCTTTCTCCAACATCTCCATGTGTTTCTGCCGGCGTTGTTCTGCAAGTTCCTGTTTCCTCAGTTCCTCCTCGTAGGAAGAGTCCTTAGTAAATTGTCGCCGCTTTAACTTTTTCTCAAGTTTTTGGACAATGGGTGTGTGTATTGCTCGACGTCGTTTATCGCTGGTTTTCTGACTGGCTTTGTTGATGCTGTCTGGATCAGGTAGAGGTGGAGGGACATCAGTGGGCAGTGGAGGCACCTCGTCTACTTCTGTACAAACAAAACAATGGGACATATAACAAGGCCAAAGTCATGGGCCCTAAGGTCCCATCTTATTCTATTTTATTATGTTTTTTACATATGTGACGGTTTTGAATTTTTAGAGTAGGTCAAAGTCATTCATTTGGACAAGAAAAGCAGTAAAACTGGTGGATTGTATTCTCCCAAAAAGGTCACCAAGACTGAAAGAAAGTGTGACTTCAATGTGACCTTGACCTTGGGCATACAGATCTAAAAATGGTATGCAACACAATGCCTTTCTATCCTACATAAGGAGAAAACCTATGTAGTCAGGCAGGTGACCCCTATTGCGGCACAATTTTCACCCCGACGTGAGAAATCGTGCTAAACTTGCTGCGTTCGCAACACGACTTCTAATCCCAGCACGATTTCTTATCCAGGTGAAATATCGTGCAAAACATATGGGTATAGCTGACAGGATTTTATCACCCGAACTCTTTATCTCGATTGGGGTATCGTCTGATGTAGTTCATTTGGTGTTTTCTCTTTTTCGAAATCAACTTTGTTTTACAACAATGAAACAACTTTTTTTCTGCTTTTTAGCTCACCTGGCCCAAAGGGCCAAGTGAGCTTATCCCATGGCACAGCGTCCGTCATCCGTCAATTTTTTCCTTTAAAACGCTACTAGTCCTGAACGGCTCAGAGGATTTTGACCAAATTTGGTCTGAAGCATCATTGGCCAAACGGTTCTCAGTTTTGTATAAACGGAGGGTATGGTCCCCCTGGAGGCAGAGGGGCGGGGCCAAATAGGGGGAAAATAGATAATTTTTTAAAAATCTTCTTCTCAACCAATAGAAGGATTTTGACCAAATTTGTCCTAGAGCATCTTTGGACAAAGGAGACTCAAGTTTGTATAAACGTAGGGTGTGGCCCCTCTGGGGGCAGAGGGGAAGAGGGGCGGGGCCCAATAGGGGAAATAGAGGATTTTTTTGTCTCCTACTATACAATTGAAGGGATTTAAACCAAATGCAGTCTGAAGCATGATTAGGGACAAAAGAATAAATTTTGTATAAACTGAGGTGTGTGGGCCCTCTTCTAGGGGCATATGGGTGGGGCCCATTAGGGGAAATAGAGGAAAACATCAAAGATCCTTCTCCTTTTGTACCGATGAAGGGATTTTGACCAAATTTGGTCTGGAGCATCATTGGTCAAAGGGTTCTCAGTTTTGTATAAACGGAGGATATGGTCCCCCTGGGGGCAGAGGGGCGGGGCCAAATAGGGGGAAAACAGGTTAATTTTAAAAAATCTTCTTCTCAACCAATAGAAGGATTTTGACCAAATTTGTCCTTGAGCATCTTTGGACAAAGGAGACTCAAGTTTGTATAAACAGATGGTGTGGCCCCTCTGGGGGCAGAGGGGCGGGGCCCAATAGGGGATATAGAGGAAATTTTTTTCTCCTACTATACAAGTGAAGGGATTTAAACCAAATGCAGTCTGAAATTCTTTGGGGCAGATGAGTGGTTCCCATTAGGGGAAATAGAGGAAAATATTTAAGATCCTTCTCCTTCTGTACCGTTGAAGGGATTTTAACCAAACTTGTTCTAGAGAATCTTTGGCCAAAGGGAATTGAATATTTATAAAAGGAAGATGTGTCTGAAGCATGCTTAGGGGAAAAAAACTCAATTTGTTTAATCGTGCAGCACACATGCGAATACACACACTCACATACAATGCACTTGCGTGCACCTTCTTAAACATATTGATACACATTATGAAAAGTTCCTTTTTACAACCAGTAACATTTTCTATGTGACGTTTCGATGACTAGTGCGATATGTACACTGTCATCTTCATCCGACAAATGACTAGTGAAGCGTATGCACACAAAGGTGTAAAATGAGTATGAGTTGTCCACAAAAATCGATGTTGATTCGCCTACGCTGTAAGTGTATGTACAATAGTTATTATATATGTACCAAAATGACTCGATTCAGCTACGCTTTGTTTAATACTTGGTCGTAGATGTGCTAGAGTCTTTGAGCCCCCTCGTCTCGATTTAGATTTGGCCCACTGTGGCATATCCAGATGGCTACCTTTATCTGCCGCTTAAACAGATTGCTCTCTCTGTCCAAAACTTTGGAGCTATCCCAGTCAATCACATGATTTTTATGTGTGGCATGGTCTGTGATTGCCGATTTATTTATCTGGGACCCCGACTGCTTAACCCTTTATTACCTGACTTCTTGTGTCTATAGCCAAGTTGACCCTTAAGCCTTTATTACATGACTTCCTGTGTCTATAGCCAAGTGGACCCTTAACCCTTTATTACATGACTTCTTGTGTCTATAATCTAGTTGACCCTTGACCTTTATTACCCGACTTCCTGTGTCTATAGTCAAGTTGACCCTTGGTCTTTATTACCTGACGTCCTGTGTCTATAGTCTTGTTGACCCTTGACCTTTATAACCTGACTTCTTGTGTCTAGAGTCTAGTCGACCCTTGACCTTTATTACCTGACTTCTTGTGTCTATAGTCTAGTTGACCCTTAACCCTTCATTACCTGACTTCCTGTGTCTATAGCCTAGATGACCCTAGACCTTTATTACCTGACTTCCTGTCTTTGTCTCTAGTCTAGTTGACCCTTGACCTTTATTACCTGACTTTCTGTGTCTATAGTCTAGTTGACCATTAACCCTTCATTACCTGACTTCCTGTGTCTATAGTCTAGTTGACCATTAACCCTTTATTACCTGACTTCCTGTGTCTATAGCCTAGTTGACCCTAGACCTTTATTACCTGACTTCCTGTCTTTGTCTCTAGTCTAGTTGACCTTTATTACCTGACTACCTGTCCTTATCTCTAGTCTAGTTAACCTTTATTACCCGACTTCCTGTCTTTGTCTCTAGTCTAGTTGACCTTTATTACCTGACTTCCTGACTTTGTCTCTAGTCTAGTTGACCTTTATTACCTTACTTCCTGTCTTTGTCTCTAGTCTAGTTGACCTTTATTACCGGACTTCCTGTCTTTGTCTCTAGCCTAGTGTACCTTTATTACCTGACTTCCTGTCTTTGTCTCTAGTCTAGTTGACCTTTATTACCGGACTTCCTGTCTTTGTCTCTAGCCTAGTGTACCTTTATTACCTGACTTCCTGTCTTTGTCTCTAGTCTAGTTGACCTTTATTACCTTACTTCCTGTCTTTGTCTCTAGTCTAGTTGACCTTTATTACCGGACTTCCTGTCTTTGTCTCTAGCCTAGTGTACCTTTATTACCTGACTTCCTGTCTTTGTCTCTAGCCTAGTGTACCTTTATTACCTGATTTCCTGTCTTTGTCTCCAGCATCTGATGACTCATCAGCATCATCATCATCGCTGCCGTAGATCCATGAGGTTGCCCTCTTGTTTGGTAGTTGCTGTGCAGGTGACTCAACGGGGGAGTCAGCCTTCGCCCCAACCCGGCGTCGATCTGCTCGCTCCTTCTTTATGATGGAAAACCTGCGCTTTCCACTTGGTGACTGAAGGATATAAATAAATTGAGAATGTGACAATATCTGGTCGATCCTATCTTGGTATAAAATATCCAGTTGAGACATAAGTTGTAGTCTTATGTTTGGCATCTATACATAACTTTATTGGTATGGACACACAACTATATATCTGTAGTATTCTGTACTATGCTACTGTAACCTTACATCCTAAGCATGTATGTTGGATAATAGTGAGGTTGATTACCTGTCCTCGTGAGGCAGGTCGGTCGTCTACAGTAAGAGACAGGGGTCCTGTGCGTGTGTCACCTACAGTAGGGATGACTTGTGTGACCAGCTTACTGTTGTCTTCTGTAACACATCAACACTTAATTCATACACAAAGAATACTTGACCAGCCACGTTACTTACTCATCCAAAGTCTGTAACTACAGCAGATGTCTGTAAAACTTAACACTATCACTCTGTAATACCATTACATTTAATATAATGTATAAAAGTAATACAAGCTATTCCTTTTAATAAAGTTGATTACAATAGCTAGGATACAGGTGATTATGATATGTTTATGATAAGAGTTTAGTGGTACATGGCTATAGTTAATATGGAGACGGATCTGTAATAAAACATTTTATTTCGTGGTAAATATAAATAAACATCCTTAACAATGCCTAACCTGTTTCTATCAGCATACTGTATACAGGATTCCCCTCTAATCTGACCCCCTGTATGATACAACCTAACCTCAGCTTTAGTAAATAGAACATTATTTTATATGACCCCCTGTATGGTACAACCTAACCTCAGCTTTACTAAATAGAACATTATTTTATATGACCCCCTGTATGATACAACCTAACCTCAGCTTCAGTAAATAGAACATTATCTTATATGACCCCCTGTATGATACAACCTAACCTCAGCTTTACTAAATAGAACATTATTTTATATGACCCCCTGTATGATACAACCTAACCTCAGCTTTACTAAATAGAACATTATCTTATATGACCTCCTGTATGATACAACATGACCTCAGCTTTACTAAATAGAACATTATCTTATATGACCCCCTGTTTGATACAACCTAACCTCAGCTTCAGTAAATAGAACATTATCTTATATGACCCCCTGTATGATACAACCTAACCTCAGCTTCAGTAAATAGAACATTATCTTATATGACCCCCTGTATGATACAACCTAACCTCAGCTTCAGTAAATAGAACATTATCTTATATGACCCCCTGTATGATACAACCTAACCTCAGCTTCAGTAAATAGAACATTATCTTATATGACCCCCTGTATGATACAACCTAACCTCAGCTTCAGTAAATAGAACATTATCTTATATGACCCCCTGTATGATACAACCTAACCTCAGCTTCAGTAAATAGAACATTATCTTATATGACCCCCTGTATGATACAACCTAACCTCAGCTTCAGTAAATAGAACATTATCTTATATGACCCCCTGTATGATACAACCTAACCTCAGCTTCAGTAAATAGAACATTATCTTATATGACCCCCTGTATGATACAACCTAACCTCAGCTTCAGTAAATAGAACATTATCTTATATGACCCCCTGTATGATACAACCTAACCTCAGCTTCAGTAAATAGAACATTATCTTATATGACCCCCTGTATGATACAACCTAACCTCAGCTTCAGTAAATAGAACATTATCTTATATGACCCCCTGTATGATACAACCTAACCTCAGCTTCAGTAAATAGAACATTATCTTATATGACCCCCTGTATGATACAACCTAACCTCAGCTTCAGTAAATAGAACATTATCTTATATGACCCCCTGTATGATACAACCTAACCTCAGCTTCAGTAAATAGAACATTATCTTATATGACCCCCTGTATGATACAACCTAACCTCAGCTTCAGTAAATAGAACATTATCTTATATGACCCCCTGTATGATACAACCTAACCTCAGCTTCAGTAAATAGAACATTATCTTATATGACCCCCTGTATGATACAACCTAACCTCAGCTTCAGTAAATAGAACATTATCTTATATGACCCCCTGTATGATACAACCTAACCTCAGCTTCAGTAAATAGAACATTATCTTATATGACCCCCTGTATGATACAACCTAACCTCAGCTTCAGTAAATAGAACATTATCTTATATGACCCCCTGTATGATACAACCTAACCTCAGCTTCAGTAAATAGAACATTATCTTATATGACCCCCTGTATGATACAACCTAACCTCAGCTTCAGTAAATAGAACATTATCTTATATGACCCCCTGTATGATACAACCTAACCTCAGCTTCAGTAAATAGAACATTATCTTATATGACCCCCTGTATGATACAACCTAACCTCAGCTTCAGTAAATAGAACATTATCTTATATGACCCCCTGTATGATACAACCTAACCTCAGCTTCAGTAAATAGAACATTATCTTATATGACCCCCTGTATGATACAACCTAACCTCAGCTTCAGTAAATAGAACATTATCTTATATGACCCCCTGTATGATACAACCTAACCTCAGCTTCAGTAAATAGAACATTATCTTATATGACCCCCTGTATGATACAACCTAACCTCAGCTTCAGTAAATAGAACATTATCTTATATGACCCCCTGTATGATACAACCTAACCTCAGCTTCAGTAAATAGAACATTATCTTATATGACCCCCTGTATGATACAACCTAACCTCAGCTTCAGTAAATAGAACATTATCTTATATGACCCCCTGTATGATACAACCTAACCTCAGCTTCAGTAAATAGAACATTATCTTATATGACCCCCTGTATGATACAACCTAACCTCAGCTTCAGTAAATAGAACATTATCTTATATGACCCCCTGTATGATACAACCTAACCTCAGCTTCAGTAAATAGAACATTATCTTATATGACCCCCTGTATGATACAACCTAACCTCAGCTTCAGTAAATAGAACATTATCTTATATGACCCCCTGTATGATACAACCTAACCTCAGCTTCAGTAAATAGAACATTATCTTATATGACCCCCTGTATGATACAACCTAACCTCAGCTTCAGTAAATAGAACATTATCTTATATGACCCCCTGTATGATACAACCTAACCTCAGCTTCAGTAAATAGAACATTATCTTATATGACCCCCTGTATGATACAACCTAACCTCAGCTTCAGTAAATAGAACATTATCTTATATGACCCCCTGTATGATACAACCTAACCTCAGCTTCAGTAAATAGAACATTATCTTATATGACCCCCTGTATGATACAACCTAACCTCAGCTTCAGTAAATAGAACATTATCTTATATGACCCCCTGTATGATACAACCTAACCTCAGCTTCAGTAAATAGAACATTATCTTATATGACCCCCTGTATGATACAACCTAACCTCAGCTTCAGTAAATAGAACATTATCTTATATGACCCCCTGTATGATACAACCTAACCTCAGCTTCAGTAAATAGAACATTATCTTATATGACCCCCTGTATGATACAACCTAACCTCAGCTTCAGTAAATAGAACATTATCTTATATGACCCCCTGTATGATACAACCTAACCTCAGCTTCAGTAAATAGAACATTATCTTATATGACCCCCTGTATGATACAACCTAACCTCAGCTTCAGTAAATAGAACATTATCTTATATGACCCCCTGTATGATACAACCTAACCTCAGCTTCAGTAAATAGAACATTATCTTATATGACCCCCTGTATGATACAACCTAACCTCAGCTTCAGTAAATAGAACATTATCTTATATGACCCCCTGTATGATACAACCTAACCTCAGCTTCAGTAAATAGAACATTATCTTATATGACCCCCTGTATGATACAACCTAACCTCAGCTTCAGTAAATAGAACATTATCTTATATGACCCCCTGTATGATACAACCTAACCTCAGCTTCAGTAAATAGAACATTATCTTATATGACCCCCTGTATGATACAACCTAACCTCAGCTTCAGTAAATAGAACATTATCTTATATGACCCCCTGTATGATACAACCTAACCTCAGCTTCAGTAAATAGAACATTATCTTATATGACCCCCTGTATGATACAACCTAACCTCAGCTTCAGTAAATAGAACATTATCTTATATGACCCCCTGTATGATACAACCTAACCTCAGCTTCAGTAAATAGAACATTATCTTATATGACCCCCTGTATGATACAACCTAACCTCAGCTTCAGTAAATAGAACATTATCTTATATGACCCCCTGTATGATACAACCTAACCTCAGCTTCAGTAAATAGAACATTATCTTATATGACCCCCTGTATGATACAACCTAACCTCAGCTTCAGTAAATAGAACATTATCTTATATGACCCCCTGTATGATACAACCTAACCTCAGCTTCAGTAAATAGAACATTATCTTATATGACCCCCTGTATGATACAACCTAACCTCAGCTTCAGTAAATAGAACATTATCTTATATGACCCCCTGTATGATACAACCTAACCTCAGCTTCAGTAAATAGAACATTATCTTATATGACCCCCTGTATGATACAACCTAACCTCAGCTTCAGTAAATAGAACATTATCTTATATGACCCCCTGTATGATACAACCTAACCTCAGCTTCAGTAAATAGAACATTATCTTATATGACCCCCTGTATGATACAACCTAACCTCAGCTTCAGTAAATAGAACATTATCTTATATGACCCCCTGTATGATACAACCTAACCTCAGCTTCAGTAAATAGAACATTATCTTATATGACCCCCTGTATGATACAACCTAACCTCAGCTTCAGTAAATAGAACATTATCTTATATGACCCCCTGTATGATACAACCTAACCTCAGCTTCAGTAAATAGAACATTATCTTATATGACCCCCTGTATGATACAACCTAACCTCAGCTTCAGTAAATAGAACATTATCTTATATGACCCCCTGTATGATACAACCTAACCTCAGCTTCAGTAAATAGAACATTATCTTATATGACCCCCTGTATGATACAACCTAACCTCAGCTTCAGTAAATAGAACATTATCTTATATGACCCCCTGTATGATACAACCTAACCTCAGCTTCAGTAAATAGAACATTATCTTATATGACCCCCTGTATGATACAACCTAACCTCAGCTTCAGTAAATAGAACATTATCTTATATGACCCCCTGTATGATACAACCTAACCTCAGCTTCAGTAAATAGAACATTATCTTATATGACCCCCTTTATGGTACAACCTAACCTCAGCTTCAGTAAATAGAACATTATCTTATATGACCCCCTGTATGGTACAACCTAACCTCAGCTTTACTAAATAGAACATTATCTGATATGATCCCCTGAATACAGAATCGCTAAACAGGAACAACCTTGAGCAACACCAATTCGCATGAAGGTAAAATCAGTTTCATGCTTGTTGGTTATTGTTTTGTTTTGATATCAAAAATAAAATAAAATACACAAAAATCAAATATCAAATACAAAATGTAGCTATGTTCCTTAATATTAAAAAACTGAAGAAAAATATAGTTGAAGAGCACATCAACCACAAATTTACTGAAAATACAAACATGACAAAAAGTAAAAATCAATACATTATTACATGCGTACAGTAAGTCAGAAACAACATCATATAACATCATTACATGTGTACAGTTAGTCAGAAACAAAATCATATAACATCATTACATGTACTTATTTATATCACAAACGAATCAATCAACAAACAAACAGGAAAGCTTGTAGGATAAAGTCACAATGTACACACCACAGCCACTACACACAAGCCTGGCTATATCAAAGATGCTGGAACACCACAAAACTACTGTATCTAGTTACACACAATCTCTCGCAGCCCGTAACTTGGTTCAGAGACTCCGGCCCAGTAAAACATAGCTCCTACCAGTTTCTAAGGTAGTAGGCCACCTTTCAGACTCCAGAAAGCCAAAAATATCACGAACCCATTGAAAACTCAATTCGAAATCGCACAAATGATTTCATTATATTGGTAGTTGTATGAAAAATGTGTTTTGAGTATGTTCATTGTGTGCTGGGTAGCGTTTACAAGTGTAATCAAACTCACCTCTAAACACATACAATAACATCTAATATTGTTCACTGGTCCTGATTACATGTTGTCTTTGACAAATCCATTTATATCTTTCTTATAATGCCAGTTGTTGACAAAGCCATGTAGATCTGTTTTAACTGTAGGACAATACCAGCTTTCACAGACAACAATCTCTATTGGTAGGGAGTGTAGTAGCAGGCTCCCGCCAGGGCCCGCTGTTCCCCATCCTCCTAGAGACGCGCCCAATACTACAGGACACAGACTTACCTAATCATTCTACATGACACAATTACACAAAAATAGTAGGAAAATGGTTTATAGGTTATAAGAATCAATTATCTTTTACACGTACCCCTATTGTGCCTCCCCAAACACAATACCCATAATTCTAAATGTAATTGAATTTCAGTTTCCTTCATTGCTCTAAAAACACCATACATCTAAATCATGTTTATCCAAATCACACAGCATTTGTAGGCTTTCAGTAAAGTACTAACTCTTCTCTAGCACTGACAAAGTCAAACAATGGAACAGATTTATAACTTACCTATAATTCATGTGGAAAAAATTATCTTCTTACCTCTACTATTTACATGTCAAATTTTATAAGCCAGCACAGGGAGCCCCGTGTCTTCAGATGAACTATGACCAAACATTCCTTTCTACAGAGTTTCTACGATTATTTAGCAATCATTACACTAAAACCTGATGTAAAGGACCACATTAAAATCACATCAACACCAAACAAAAATTACAACTTAATATTCAATTCTAATCTTTGTCAAAATCTTTAATTTTTAACCTAAAAACTAGTTAACTAGAGTAGAGTTTTTTACGTGTTATTTATACGTTCAATAGCAGTATGCCTCATTACCCATCAAGGAGATCACTGTCACCATAAACATAACAAAATTAGAAAATGGGTCACAGATTATTATTTACAGCTTATTAAAGTACAGAACTGTAAACTTTACAGACCATAATAGAAATGTGAACACCTGGTAAATTGATTTAACTCCATTTGAGTTCTCAGAATTCCAGTTAATAGGAGTTGTAAACAGTGAATATCCAAATAACACACTCAGGACGGGGATGACCGACATTTACCAACGTAGCTTGTGTAGTCAAACTTTGGTCGTAGAATTGAAATTATTTTGGTATTTGTACTTCTACTACAAACACACAGGTTGTTTGATAAATACCTTTTTTTAACCCACATTTAATGCTTTCATTGCAATATGTTTAAAAGAACTGCACAATGTGTCACATGACTAAGAGGTCAAACATACCAGTGTGGACAGACTGAAATCAAGTGTCAGGTGACTTAGAGGTCAAACATACCAGTGTGGACAGGCTGAAATTAAGTGTCAGGTGACTTAGAGGGGATACATACCAGTGTGGACAGACTGAAATTAAGGATCAGGTGACTTAGAGGTCAAACATACCAGTGTGGACATACTGAAATTAAGTATCAGGTGACTTAGAGGGCAAACATACCAGTGTGGACAGACTGAAATCAAGTGTCAGGTGACTTAGAGGTTAAACATTCCAGTGTGGACAGACTGAAATTAAGTATCAGGCGACTTAGAGGTCAAACATACCAGTGTGGACAGACTGAAATTAAGTGTCAGGTGACTTAGAGGTGATACATACCAGTGTGGACAGACTGAAATTAAGTATCAGGTGACTTAGAGGTCAAACATACCAGTGTGGACAGACTGAAATCAAGTATCAGGTGACTTAGAGGTCAAACATACCAGAGTGGACAGACTGAAATGATGTGTCATGTGACTTAGAGGTGAGACATACCAGTGTGGACAGACTGAAATTAAGTATCAGGTGATTTAGAGGTCAAACATACCAGTGTGGACAGACTGAAATGATGTGTCATGTGACTTAGAGGTGAGACATATCAGTGTGGACAGACTGAAATGATGTGTCATGTGACTTAGAGGAGAGACATACCAGTGTGGACAGACTGAAATGATGTGGCACATGACTTAGAGGTGAGACATACAATTAGGACAGACTGAAATGATGTGTCATGTGACTTAGAGGTTAGACATACCAGTGTGGACAGACTGAAATTAAGTATCAGGCGACTTAGAGGTCAAACATACCAGAGTGGACAGACTGTAATGATGTGTCATGTGACTTAGAGGTGAGACATACCAGTGTGGACAGACTGAAATGAAGTGTCACATGACTTAGAGGTGAGACATACCAGTGTGGACAGACAGTGTGGACAGACTGAAATTAAGTATCAGGTGATTTAGAGGTCAAACATGCCAGTGTGGACAGACTGAAATGATGTGTCATGTGACTTAGAGGAGAGACATACCAGTGTGGACAGATTGAAATGATGTGTCACATGACTTAGAGGTGAGACATACCAGTGTGGACAGACTGAAGTGATGTGTCACATGACTTAGAGGTGAGACATACCAGTGTGGACAGAGTGAAATGATGTGTCACATGACTTAGAGGTGAGAAATACAATTAGGACAGACTGAAATGATGTGTCATGTGACTTAGAGGTGAGACATACCAGTGTGGACAGACTGAAGTGATGTGTCACATGACTTAGAGGTGAGACATACCAGTGTGGACAGACTGAAATGAAGTGTCACATGACTTAGAGGTGAGACATACCAGTGTGGACAGACTGAAATGAAGTGTCACATGACTTAGAGGTGAGACATACCAGTGTGGACAGACTGAAATCAAGTGTCAGGTGACTTAGAGGTCAGACATACCAGTGTGGACAGACTGAAATCAAGTGTCAGGTGACTTAGAGGGCAAACATACCAGTGTGGACAGACTGAAATCAAGTGTCAGGTGACTTAGAGGTCAAACATACCAGAGTGGACAGACTGAAATGATGCGTCATGTGACTTAGAGGTGAGACATACCAGTGTGGACAGAGTGAAATGATGTGTCACATGACTTAGAGGTGAGACATACCAGTGTGGACAGACTGAAATGAAGTGTCACATGACTTAGAGGTGAGACATACCAGTGTGGACAGACTGAAGTGATGTGTCACATGACTTAGAGGTGAGACATACCAGTGTGGACAGACTGAAGTGATGTGTCACATGACTTAGAGGTGAGACATACCAGAGTGGACAGACTGAAATGATGTGTCACATGACTTAGAGGTGAGACATACAATTAGGACAGACTGAAATGATGTGTCATGTGACTTAGAGGTGAGACATATCAGTGTGGACAGACTGAAATTATGTGTCAGGTGACTTAGAAGTCAGACATACCAGTGTCGACAGACTGAAATTATGTGTCATGTGACTTAAAGGTGAGACATATCAGTGTGGACAGACTGAAATGATGTGTCATGTGACTTAGAGGTCAGACATATCAGTGTGGACAGACTGAAATTATGTGTCATGTGACTTAGAGGTGAGATATATCAGTGTGGACAGACTAAAATTATGTTTCATGTGACTTAGAGCTGAGACAAATCAGTGTGGACAGACCGAATTGATGTGTCAGGTGACTTAGAGGTCAGACATATCAGTGTGTCCCATTACTTGAAGGTTGTATACACACCAGTATGTACTGACAGTTACTGTCAAGACCTTGGTGTCACAGCTGTTCTTTATTTATATGTATTATTTAGTAGCCCCTGTATACTTGGAAGCATTTCACATTTAACAAGGACAGATAGCGTTTTCCATGCAACATATACTTTAGCAAGTTTCCAAGTTTTGGAAAGTTTATAAAAGTATGAGCAACAGCACAAATTTCTATTTTCTCAAGTATAAATTTTAGAAAAAAAGGAAGATAAAAATGTTCATGCATTATAACCTACAGCAAGTATCACACCACATATACAATACTGTACAACACAGGGGTATAGGTCAGGGATGCAGTCATGCCAAATGGCCAGGCAAACGCTTCAAATGAGAGTTACCTCCCCTCTCATGACCGGTCTGGAGGAATACCACTGGTTCAGGCTTGGCAAGACTCATGTCCATTTGGGGAAGTGGGAGACTATAAAGCTTAGCAGTTTTCTCCTCAGCAACTTTTGACCCTATTGGGGTCAACCCTGCACATCTATCTTTGGACTCAACTGGCATTTGAATTTTGACCTCTGCCACTTCTTCCTCTGGAAGTTTGGTGAGAAGCCTTGGTTGTTGTTTGACAATACTAGGTGGACTAGAGGAGGCAGACTGCGTGTGTTTGATGACGTCACTTATAACTGGGAGGGAGGGCTCTGATGGAAGTTAGGTCGATAAATGTCACAGAATACTTCTCAACACAAAATTTCATTATCATTTACATTAATTTGCATATTTAAAAGGAAAATCAAAAATATTCAAACAAATTGAAACATATATAACTCATGAGAAAAATTTAACAGATTTAACTTTCAAGAAATGCAGTGGCCTGTAAAAGATAAAATCATTGTTTAGCACACTCTGAAACAGAATGTGTTAATAATACTATAACATTACTAGAAAGGATAGAGGGTTAAAATTGCACAAATGAAAAGTTGTGTGTTGTACCTTGGCTGAGTTTGTTGTTAAGTTTGCTGCTGGACTTCCTGTCCAGTTTGTTGCGTGATGTTGATGTCCGACTAGTAGACTTACTGGCCTTGACCCTTGAGGAGGATGTTTTCAGCTGACTACTGCTGCTGCTTGAGACAGAGGCTGGAAGCAGAGGCATCATCACAACTGTACCTGATGTGTAGATACATATCTATCCTATCCAACTTACCTTCTACCGTATTAATCTTGAATATCTAGAGGTCAAACCTGTCCTTACATTAATATCAACTACAGTTTACTGACCTTGGAGAGCTAGAGGTCAAACCTGCACTTACATTTAATATCTAAAGCTCCTTCAGAAATTAATGAATTATAATCACTCGTCACCACAAAACTTCAACAAAATCATGTGTGTTTTACTGTGGGAAGATAAATCTCATTTCCCAACTAAGACATAAGCCACCATTGTTATTGTCAAGCAGAAAGCATTTTCTACTGTAAGTTACATTTTTCAGCTGTTCAAATTTACAGAAGCATTGTGACAATTTTCTACTGTAAGTTACATTTTCAGCTGTTCATATCTACAGAAGCATTGTGACAATTTTGTACTGTAAGTTACATTTTTCAGCTGTTCATATCTACAGAAGCATTGTGACAATTTTCTACTGTAAGTTACATTTTTCAGATGTTCATATCTACAGAAGCATTGTGACAATCTGTTTGTGTTTCTAATCTAAGTCCTCCTTCACTACTCACTCAATACTCAGCAAACATATATAATGAATTCTTGAATGATTGGTAATTAAAAAAAGTATACATACTGCAAAACCAATGTATGCTACTTCTAGAAGCCATGTACCTCCACCCATCAACATTTACACTGAAGGCATTACTTACCCGAACCTTTCTTGTTCTCTGAAAGAAAAGAAAGAAGCTACATGAGACTAAACTCTGTGGTATTGATTTAATGTAACCTATAGGGACATGTCTGAGGATGCCATGAGGAGTAGTTTTCACACCCCCAGTTGGTTAAGTAAATAGTTCTTTCTGGTCTGACATACCCATCCATATATAGAACAGTGTTTGATGTAACATGTTGCTTTAGTCTGACTCAAACCCTTCCAGCTATTGCTACATGAAGACATATAATATATAATCATCTGTTTGGAAGTTTACAATCAGCTGTATGATAACATGGTCGAGACCTGAAATTGATTTCATGAGATACTACACTGTGTACTTGTGTATGAACTCCAAATCCTGTGTCTGATGTAATACAAGGTCTCCACCAGTTGTTTAACTAGCAATTAATTCATCTCAGTTTGAAAAGTACACTAGCTGTCAATACTGACAGTGTCTAACAACAAATGAAATAGCCTAATCATCATAAAAAACTTAATGTGATAAATTTTGGATAGGGGACGAACCGGTTGAAGTAGCATCAGACAGGTAGTAAACTGTCATTGGGGGAAAAAAGAACGAAATGTCAATTTTAGTGTTTAAATGGGTGAGTTTGGACTAGGTTGTCTGTGACAGTAACAACAGAGACTAACAAGTATATAAGTACAATAGCAGCACTATACTTACTCTGTGGCGTGTTGGTAGGTGCACTAAGAAGTATTTTAACCCTCGACTTAAGTTACCCGATCTAACTCAGTGACAGTTACAGATTTTATTAGTCTATATGATACTCAGTATTTTAACCCTCGACTTAAGTTACCCGCTCTAACTCAGTGACAGTTATAGATTTTATTAGTCTATATGATACTCAGTATTTTAACCCTTGACTTTAGTTACCCGATCTCACTCAGTGACAGTTACAGATTTTATTAGTCTATATGATACTCAGTATTTTAACCCTCGACTTAAGTTACCCGATCTAACTCAGTGACAGTTATAGATTTTATTAGTCTATATGATACTCAGTATTTTAACCCTCGACTTTAGTTACCTGATCTCACTCAGTGACAGTTACAGATTTATTAGTCTATATGATACTCAGTATTTTAACCATCAACTTAAGTTACCCGATCTCGCTCAGTGAGTTATAGATTTTATTAGTCTATAGGATACTAAGTATGATACTCAGTATTTTAACCCTCGACTTTTAGTTACCCGATCTCACTCAGTTAGTTATAGATTTTATTAGTCTATAGGATACTAAGTATTTTAAACCTCGACTTTAGTTACCCGATCTCACTCAGTGACAGTTGATACTCAGTATTTTAACCCTCAACTTAAGTTACCCGATCTCACTCAGTGAGTTATAGATTTTATTAGTCTATATGATACTAAGTATTTTTACCCTCGACTTAAGTTACCCGATCTCACTCAGTGACAGTTACAGATTGTATTAGTCTATAGGATACTAAGTACTTTAACCCCCGACTTAAGTTACCTGATCTCACTCAGTGACAGTTACAGATTGTATTAGTCTATAGGATACTGTCTTTAGTGACCCCATCTCACTCAGTGACATTTACAGATTGTATTAGTCTATAGGATACTAAGTATTTTAACCCTCGTCTTTAGTGACCCCATCTCACTCAGTGACAGTTACAGATTGTATTAGTCTATAGGATACTAAGTATTTTAACCCTCGACTTTAGTTACCCGATCTCAATCAGTGACAGTTACAGATTTTATTAGTCTAGAGGATACTAAGTGGTTTAACCCTCGACTTTAGTTACCTGCTCTCACTCAGTGACAGTTATAGATTTTATTAGTCTATATGATACTAAGTATTTTAAGCCTTGACTTTAGTTACCCGATCTCACTCAGTGACAGTTACAGATTTTATTAGTCTATAGGATACTGTCTTTAGTGACCCCATCTCACTCAGCGAAAGTTACAGATTGTATTAGTCTATAGTATACTAAGTATTTTAACCCTCGACTTTAGTTACCTGATCTCACTCAGTGACAGTTACAGATTTTATTAGTCTATATGATACTAAGTATTTTAACCCTTGACTTTAGTTACCCGATCTCACTCAGTGACAGTTACAGATTGTATTAGTCTATAGGATACTAAGTATTTTAACCCTCGACTTTAGTTACCCGATCTCACTCAGTGACAGTTACAGATTTTATTAGTCTATAGGATACTAAGTATTTTAACCCTCGACTTTAGTTACCCGATCTCACTCAGTGACAGTTACAGATTGTATTAGTCTATAGGATACTAAGTATTTTAACCCTCGACTTTAGTTACCTGATCTCACTCAGTGACAGTTACAGATTGTATTAGTCTATAGGATACTAAGTATTTTAACCCTCGACTTTAGTTACCCGATCTCACTCAGTGACAGTTACAGATTGTATTAGTCTATAGGATACTAAGTATTTTAACCCTCGACTTTAGTTACCTGATCTCACTCAGTGACAGTTACAGATTGTATTAGTCTATAGGATACTAAGTATTTTAACCCTCGACTTTAGTTACCTGATCTCACTCAGTGACAGTTACAGATTGTATTAGTCTATAGGATACTAAGTATTTTAACCCTCGACTTTAGTTACCTGATCTCACTCAGTGACAGTTACAGATTGTATTAGTCTATAGGATACTAAGTATTTTAACCCTCGACTTAAGTTACCTGATCTCACTCAGTGACAGTTACAGATTGTATTAGTCTATAGGATACTAAGTATTTTAACCCTCGACTTTAGTTACCTGATCTCACTCAGTGACAGTTACAGATTGTATTAGTCTATAGGATACTAAGTATTTTAACCCTCGACTTTAGTTACCTGATCTCACTCAGTGACAGTTACAGATTGTATTAGTCTATAGGATACTAAGTATTTTAACCCTCGACTTTAGTTACCTGATCTCACTCAGTGACAGTTACAGATTGTATTAGTCTATAGGATACTAAGTATTTTAACCCTCGACTTTAGTTACCCGATCTCACTCAGTGACAGTTACAGATTGTATTAGTCTATAGGATACTAAGTATTTTAACCCTCGACTTTAGTTACCTGATCTCACTCAGTGACAGTTACAGATTGTATTAGTCTATAGGATACTAAGTATTTTAACCCTCGACTTTAGTTACCTGATCTCACTCAGTGACAGTTACAGATTGTATTAGTCTATAGGATACTAAGTATTTTAACCCTCGACTTAAGTTACCTGATCTCACTCAGTGACAGTTACAGATTGTATTAGTCTATAGGATACTAAGTATTTTAACCCTCGACTTTAGTTACCTGATCTCACTCAGTGACAGTTACAGATTGTATTAGTCTATAGGATACTAAGTATTTTAACCCTCGACTTAAGTTACCTGATCTCACTCAGTGACAGTTACAGATTGTATTAGTCTATAGGATACTAAGTATTTTAACCCTCGACTTAAGTTACCTGATCTCACTCAGTGACAGTTACAGATTGTATTAGTCTATAGGATACTAAGTATTTTAACCCTCGACTTAAGTTACCTGATCTCACTCAGTGACAGTTACAGATTGTATTAGTCTATAGGATACTAAGTATTTTAACCCTCGACTTAAGTTACCTGATCTCACTCAGTGACAGTTACAGATTGTATTAGTCTATAGGATACTAAGTATTTTAACCCTCGACTTAAGTTACCTGATCTCACTCAGTGACAGTTACAGATTGTATTAGTCTATAGGATACTAAGTATTTTAACCCTCGACTTAAGTTACCTGATCTCACTCAGTGACAGTTACAGATTGTATTAGTCTATAGGATACTAAGTATTTTAACCCTCGACTTAAGTTACCTGATCTCACTCAGTGACAGTTACAGATTGTATTAGTCTATAGGATACTAAGTATTTTAACCCTCGACTTAAGTTACCTGATCTCACTCAGTGACAGTTACAGATTGTATTAGTCTATAGGATACTAAGTATTTTAACCCTCGACTTAAGTTACCTGATCTCACTCAGTGACAGTTACAGATTGTATTAGTCTATAGGATACTAAGTATTTTAACCCTCGACTTAAGTTACCTGATCTCACTCAGTGACAGTTACAGATTGTATTAGTCTATAGGATACTAAGTATTTTAACCCTCGACTTAAGTTACCTGATCTCACTCAGTGACAGTTACAGATTGTATTAGTCTATAGGATACTAAGTATTTTAACCCTCGACTTAAGTTACCCGATCTCACTCAGTGACAGTTACAGATTGTATTAGTCTATAGGATACTAAGTATTTTAACCCTCGACTTTAGTTACCCGATCTCACTCAGTGACAGTTACAGATTGTATAAGTCTATATGATACTAAGTATTTTAACCCTGGACTTTAGTTACCCAATCTCACTCAGTGACAGTTACAGATTGTATAAGTCTATATGATACTAAGTATTTTAACCCTGGACTTTAGTTACCCAATTTCACTCAGCGACAGTTACAGGTTGTATTAGTCTATAGGATACTAAGTATTTTAACCATCGTCTTAAGTTACCCGATCTCACTCAGTGACAGTTACAGATTGTATAAGTCTATAGGATACTAAGTATTTTAACCCTCAACTTTAGTTACCTGATCTCACTCCGTGACAGTTACAGATTGTATAAGTCTATAGAATACTAACTACATAGACTAGTATGTACTGTTGTATAACTACCTATTATCATACTTACTCTGCGATAGTGATGGCAGGCGCACTAGATGATGGAGGAAGCAAACATATAACATTTCTTAACCCAATTAAATATCATCAAACACATTACAAAGGATTGCACCAGAAATGTACTACACTGTTTATATCATATCATACAAAAAAGGTAATTGATAATCCAAAATATAAAATAAAATGTGCACATCAAGGGAACATAGTTAATTATTGTAACAGTTCATTCATGTAATCTCTATATGGAGAAAATAAATAATCTGTCTGTCTGTCTGTCTGACTCCTGTGACATTACTGAAAAAACTGAGATCAATTTGTACACGTTATGATTTTAACTGAAGATAAAGGTATGTTAAATTGTATTTGTTACAATTAAGTTATAATTATACTATATTTTTAAGAGCAACTACATACCACCCATGTATGCTGTGAAACACAGAACATGTAAGAAAGACATTCTACACAAGGGTATACACACAAATACTGCTATCAGCCCCCTAATGCCATAACAGGGTGATACTCCACTACTGTGCAAAGTTTCATGCTGTACCTCTAATCGACAACTACACCCTAGCAACATGCACTACAAAGAATATCATCTACATTGACATTATCATGTGAGAAACCATACCCAATGGAATATGACATAGTTGTGACAAATTCACATAAAAAATATTTTTTCAGGAAAGGTTTTCATAAAGGTGAATGTGTTGCCTGCCCCAAAGGTGGCCATGTTGGTTTTCAGATTCCAGTCAAAATCAAAGTTGAGTGTGTAATTTATCTTACAGGCATGTGTAGAAAATTTCATGAAAATCAAAGCTTCTTTCAAGACTTATCACAGGGAGAACATTTGTACAGATGATGTGATCCCCTTCAACACTTATCACAGGGAGAAAATTTGCACTGATGATTTGATCCGCTTCAAGACTTATCACAGGGAGAACATTTGTATAGATGATGTGATCCCCTTCAAGACTTATCACAGGGAGAACATTTGTACAGATGATGTGATCCCCTTCAAGACTTATCACAGGGAGAAAATTTGCACTGATGATGTGATCCCCTTCAAGACCTACCACAGGGAGAACATTTGTACAAATGATGTGATCCCCTTCAAGAATTATGACAGGGAGATCATTTGTACAGATGATGTGATCCGCTTCAAGACTTATCACAGGGAGAAAATTTGCACTGATGATGTGATCCCCTTCAAGACTTACCACAGGGAGAACATTTGTACAAATGATGTGATCCCCTTCAAGAATTATCACAGGGAGATCATTTGTACAGATGATGTGATCCCATTCAAGTCTTCTCACAGGGAGAACATTCGAACAGATGATGTGATCCCCTTCAAGACCTACCACAGGGAGAACATTTGTACAAATGAGGTGATCCCCTTCAAGAATTATCACACGGAGATCATTTGTACAGATGATGTGATCCCATTCAAGTCTTCTCACAGGGAGAACATTTGAACAGATGATGTGATCCCCTTCAAGTCTTCTCACAGGGAGAACATTTGAACAGATGATGTGATCCCCTTCTAGACTTATCACATGGAGAACATTTGTACAGATGATGTGATCCCCTTCAAGACTTATCACATGGAGAACATTTGTACAGATGATGTGATCCCCTTCAAGAATTATCACAGGGAGATCATTTGTACAGATGATGTGATCCGCTTCAAGACTTATCACAGGGAGAAAATTTGCACTGATGATATGATCCCCTTCAAGACTTATCACAGGGAGAACAATTGTACAGATGATGTGATCCCCTTCAAGTCTTATCACAGAGAGAACATTTGCACTGATGATATGATCCCCTTCAAGTCTTCTCACAGGGAGAACATTTGTACAGATGATGTGATCCCCTTCTAGACTTATCACAGGGAGAACATTTGTACATATGAAGTGATCCCCTTCAAGACTTATCAAAGGGAGAACATTTGTACAGATGATGTGATCCCCTTCAAGACTTATCACAGGGAGAACATTTGTACAGATGATGTGATCCCCTTCAAGACTTATCACAGGGAGAAAATTTGCACTGATGATTTGATCCGCTTCAAGACTTATCACAGGGAGAAAATTTGCACTGATGATATGATCCCCTTCAAGACTTATCACAGGGAGAACATTTGTACATATGATGTGATCCCCTTCTAGACTTATCACAGGGAGAACATTTGTACAGATGATGTGATCCCCTTCAAGACTTATCACAGGGAGAATGTTTGTACAGATGATGTGATCCCCTTCAAGGTTTATCACAGGGAGAACATTTGTACATATGATGTGATCCCCTTCTAGACTTATCACAGGGAGAACATTTGTACAGATGATGTGATCCCCTTCAAGACTTATCACAGGGAGAATGTTTGTACATACGATGTGATCCCCTTCAAGGTTTATCACAGGGAGAACATTTGTACAGATGATGTGATCCCCTTCAAGTCTTATCACAGAGAGAACATTTGTACAGATGATGTGATCCCCTTCAAATCACAGAGAGAACATTTGTACAGATGATTTGATCCTGTTCAAATCACAGAGAGAACATTTGTACAGATGATGTGATCCCCTTCAAAGCACAGAGAGAACATTTGTACAGATGATGTGATACCCTTCAAGTCTTATCACAGGGAGGCCATTTGTACAGATGATGTGATTCCCTTCAAATCACAGAGAGAACATTTGTACAGCTGATGTGATCCCCTTCAAGGTTTATCACAGGGAGAACATTTGTACAGAGGATGTGATCCCTTTCATGACTTATAACAGAGAGAACATTTGTACAGCTGATGTGATCCCCTTCAAAGCACAGAGAGAACATTTGTAGAGATGATGTGATCCCCTTCAAAGCACAGAGAGAACATTTGTACAGAGGATGTGATCCCTTTCATGACTTATAACAGAGAGAACATTTGTACAGAGGATGTGATCCCTTTCATGACTTATAACAGAGAGAACATTTGTAGAGATGATGTGATCCCCTTCAAGTCTTCTCACAGGGAGAACATTTGTACAGAGGATGTGATCCCTTTCATGACTTATAACAGAGAGAACATTTGTACAGCTGATGTGATCCCCTTCAAAGCACAGAGAGAACATTTGCACTGATGATATGATCCCCTTCAAGACTTCTCACAGGGAGAACATTTGTACAGATGATGTGATCCCTGTAATTCATGTGTTGTCACCTTTGGTTTCCATGTGACATAAAAATAGTGTGTGCAACATTACAATGATATCATGGGCGACACCATAACATATTATTGGACTTTAGTCCAAAAGTCATAATGATTTCTTTATATACTGAGCTGTACACTAAACGTAGGATAAACATCCTGTAAAGAAGCTATCCTGATACATATATAGAACAAGGCAAAGTTTTAATTGATTGCAGTCAGAGGTAAAAATAAAAATTCCAATGATTTGCTTTCAGTTCAATTAATTCTGGCATGCACAACTAATTAGGTTACTCCATAAGATATGTTAAGGAAGATAATTTTTTGGTGGAACAATATATATATGTGAACACTCTACCGAAAACTGACCACCAAACATAACAAAATTACTCTAGAACAACTGAGGTGACAACTACATAGTAAATGACTATTACACAGGTAAGTGACCACGACACAGGTAAGTGACCACTACATAAGTAAGTTACCACTACACAGGTACGTGACCAATACACAGGTAAGTGACCAATACACAGGTAAGTTACCACTACACAGGTAAGTGACCATGACACAGGTAAGTGACCACTACATAAGTAAGTTACCACTACACAGGTACGTGACCAATACACAGGTAAGTGACCAATACACAGGTAAGTGACCAATACACAGGTAAGTGACCACTACATAAGTAAGTTACCACTACACAGGTACGAGACCAATACACAGGTAAGTGACCAATACACAGGTAAGTGACCAATACACAGGTAAGTGACCAATACACAGGTATGGGTTGGATGTCTTGTGTATCCAAACAACGAATTGAAGTTTTTAGGTTGTGTTGTAAGTTAAAATCGGTGGATAATGACCGTATTCTGTACAAAGTTTATTCACGATCCTCCAGGAAAGGTAAATCATGGGATGTAAAAGCTAAAAAATTAGCAAGTAAGTTTGATATCGCCAATATTATTAATGACGCTCTAAATCTGTTATGTTTAAAATCAAACAGAAAATGTTCATCAAGGATGAAGAGACGTGGTTCTCCAAGTCTTTGGTGTGATAAAGGTAACATTAACGGCAATAAATTACGAACATACCGTTTATTCAAAAAAGATTTACAACCGGAACATTACGTCACCACTTTAATTCCGAGACCACACCGTAGTGTATTAGCCAAGTTAAGAAGTGGCAGCTTACCGCTTCTTATAGAGACGGGTAGATATACACATCCAGTCACTCCATTAAATGACAGGCTGTGCAATTTCTGCGCTAATAAAATTGAGAATGAAATCCACTTTTTATGTGAATGTAACCTATATTTCGACCTTAGAGTCCCTCTGTTTGAAAGAGCAAGTAATTTAGATCAATCATTTATTTCTATGGATCATAACAAACAATTTATTTTTCTTATTAATGAATCGCTTCAACCTGTCTTAGCTAAGTCAGTTTTCCTTTTTATGAAAAGGAGACGTGGTAGTATTTAAAACTTGATATGCATTTTAGATTTTTAAGACCATATACCTCGTAATATATGGTTCATATTATTGCATCTAGTAGGCAACATTACGATGCTTTCAGATTTTACTATAATTCAGTTTTAATGATTTTAATAAATCTAATTTTTGTATTTTATATGTATTTGATGTGCTAGTAATTGCCAATCATCGAGGTCCCGATGGTGGGGGAGGGGTGACTTGTCGGTAGGGATTGGCTCAACCACTCTCGCTCTTCTCCCACCATCGGATCCTAAGCATACATTCAATTTTTATGTTATGTACAGTATGATATATGGTTCTTATTATTGAGAATCATTAATGGATTTTATGTTTTAATATATATAAATTTTAAGTAGTGTCTCGTAAGTCAGTATGGCTTGGCATATTTTGCATATGTGTATTTTTATTATGTAAGTGATGTGTTATGTAAAATATGTGTGACGCTTAAATAAAATATTTTATTATTATATATTATTATATGTTAACATTACACAGGTAAATGTCCACTACACAGGTAAGTTACCACTACACAGGCAAGTGACTATTACACAGGCACGTGACCACTTTACAGGTATGTTACCATTACACAGGTAAGTGACAACTACACAGGTAAGTGACCATTACACAGGTAAGTTACCACTACACAAGTAAGTGACCACAACACAGGTAAGTTACCACTACACATGTAAGTGACCACTACACAGGTAAGTGACCACTACACAGGTAAGTGTCCACTACATAAGTAAGTTACCACTACACAGGTAAGTGACCACTACACAGGTATGTTACCACTACACAGGTAAGTGACCACTACACAGGAAAGTTACCACTACACAGGTTAGTGACCACTACACAGGTAAATGTCAACTTCATAAGTAAGGTACCACTACACAGGTAAGTGACCACTACACAAGTAAGTTACCATTTCACAGGTAAGTGACCACTACACAGGTTAGTGACCATTACACAGGCATGTGACCACTTTACAGGTACATTACCATTACACAGGTAAGTGACCAATACACAGGTAAGTTACCACTACACAGGCAAGTTACCATTACACAGGCAAGTGACCACCACACAGCTAAGGGGCATCTATACAGGTAAGTTACCACTACACAGGCAAGTGACCACTACACAGGAAAGTTACCACTACACAAGTATGTGACCACCACACAGCTAAGTGACCAATACACAGCTAAGTGACCACCAAACAGCTAAGTGATCACTACACAGCTAAGTGAGTAAAGTGACCACTACACAGGTAAGTGACCACCACACAGGTAAGTGACCACTACACAGGCAAATCCCCACTACACAGGTAAGTTACCACTACACAGGCAAGTTACCACTACACAGGTATGTGACCATCACACAGCTAAGTGACCACTACACAGCTTAGTGAGTAAAGTGACCACTACACAGGTAAGTGACCACCACACAGGTAAGTGACCACTACACAGCTAAGTGTCCACCACACAGCTAAGTGACCACTACAAAGCTAAGTGAGTAAAGTGACCAATACACAGGTAAGTGACCACTACACAGGTAAATGCCCACTACACAGGCAAGTGACTACTTCACAGGCATGCGACCACTTTACAGGTGTGTTACCATTACACAGGTAAGTGACCACTACACAGGTAAGTGACCACTACACAGGTAAGTTACCATTACACAGGTAAGTGACCACTACACAAGTAAGTGACCACTACACAGGTAAGTGACCACTACACAGGTAAGTGACCAATACACAGGTTAGTTACCACTACACAGGTTAGTGACCACTACACATGTAAATGTTCACTACACAAGTAAGTTACCATTTCACAGGTAAGTTACCACTACACAGGTAAGTGACCACTACACAGGTAAGTTACCATTACACAGGTAAGTGACCACTACACAGGTAAGTTACCATTACACAGGTTAGTGACCACTACACAAGTAAGTGACCACTACACAGGTAAGTTATCATTACACAAGTAAGTTACCACTACACAGGCAAGTTACCACTACACAGAGAAGTGACCACTACACAGGCAAGTTACCAATACACAGGTATGTGACCACCACACAGCTAAGTTACCACTACACAGCTAAGTGACCACCACACAGCTAAGTGACCACTACATAGCTAAGTGAGTAAAGTGACCACTACACAGGTAAGTGACCACCACACAGCTAAGTGACCACTACACAGCTAAGTGACCACCAGACAGCTAAGTGACCACTACAAAGCTAAGTGAGTAAAGTGACCAATACACAGGTAAGTGACTTCTACACAGGTAAATGCCCACTACACAGGTAAGTTACCTCTATACAGGTAAGTTACCGTTACAAAACTAAGTGAACACTACTCAGCTAAGTGAGTAAAGTGATCACTACATAGTTACATGATTACCATTGTACCTACACAAGAAGTACATGCACTATCAATACAGAAACATGCTGCATGCCTCATACAATACCTGGGACCTTAGGTCTGGGGGGCCCTAGAATTTGACCATCAGACTGACTGCAGGTCAGTGATTCAGAGGTCAAGCGCTTTCTAAGCACTGTTGCATTCATTCTGTAGATATCTGTCGTTACTGTACATAATAAATGATACTTATTTTTTATTAAAGATTCCAATAAATCTACCTTTCTGGTGTTAGGATGTCATCAAACAGCTGAGTATGATACTTTTCTCTACTACCAAATGAACTTGGACAATGGATTTATATTTGTATTTACAAACATGTTGTGGTAGACTGTTTCCAGAACAAAAATCATTTGAAATGAAAGTGCCTAATTTTAGTAAGGTGAACATTTGCCAGCATTCAATTTTTATTTATTTTCAGGGATTTCCATCAGCTGACTTACTAAGTTCCTCTTCTGCTAGCCTGTCAGCCTCCTCTTTAGCCAGTGCCGCAGCTAGTGCTGCAGCCTTCTCTTGTTCCCGTCGTTTACGCATTTCCTCAGACATTTGTAACTGTTCTCGATGTTCAGCTTCTGCCACTCTCATAGCAGCCGTAGCAACGTCAACTTCACTCCTGGAGATGATGACATATTCTCCTTCCCTTAGTGACCAGTCTGTCTCTGTAACACACAAATCAATCAATGTGGCACCGGTAACATTGTATGTAGTGGTTGAGGAGGAGGTAAACCATTTTATACACATCTGACCCATCACCTTGAAAATGGGTCAAGGTCAATGATTAAACAAACTTAATATCCTTTCACCCACGAAAGCTTCATGACCCTAGAAGGCCTTATGTTCTGTACACGATTTATGTAAAGCAATCAGCAAATGACTTGAACCCTTTCACCCTATAGAGGACTCATGTAAGGGGAAAAATGAGTGATGGATTGACAGACCGAGTGGGGAGGTCCTGGCACAAAGAAATATTCAATTGATTTTGATCTACTGTTGAATTTTTGTTATTATGTGAAATTGAAAACCTGTCATGGTCCTAATATATCCCAGGGAACACGAGATAGCGTTAAATATATTATTCATTATTTTTTGGAAGTTTGTTAAAAAGTTATTCACCAGCACACACAAATATAACGAAACAAGAATTTCCAACAAGCTAGTTTATAATCATGTTTCACTGTAAACTATCGTGCGTGTAGCAACTATTCCATTGTTTCACTACATCACATAATATATGCTTATTTCATATGATTATACTCCCAGAGCTGCAGTTGGTAGATAAAACACTTATTTATCATATATAGAGAATAATACATGCCTTTTTCCATATCACACCCAGTATCAACCCGAGACTGCAATATCAGCCCAAGGGCCGAAGGCCCGAGAGTGTGGTTGAGGGTTGATACTTGGTGTGATATGGAAAAAGGCGTGTTCTATTCTGTTTATTACATATTTACTAATAAAAACTACTATCTTATGATTCAATATCTTTTTGAAATATTAAAAAACGAAAAAAAAATCGTAAAGTGATGTGATATGGGTTTTGCGGGCTGCTATGGGTTTTGGGGTGTGATACGGCGGGGGCTGATACGGGTTTTGGGGTGTGATACGGCGAGGGCTGATATGGGTTAGAGCAATTGTGTCGTATCGCATACATACAAAAAAAACGTATTTATCAGTAAGTATGTAATAAAAACTGTTAATCATCCAAGCCTGGATGTTTGTACCCTCATAGTTCAGACATACAACTTCTATCTATATATCAACCAATAATGTGTACCGGGCTCTGTTTGCTGCTCTCTGGATTCTGTGCTATTCACTGGATTATCTGCCCCTGATGTTTCCTGATTATCATCGGTACTATCCTCAGTGACCTCCGTATCATCCTCTGTCTGTCCATCAGAAGTCAGTGTCTCCTTAGGAAGGGTAAAATGAAGGTCAAGGTCAGTTTCATTCCGAGGTAAACCAGATCTGCGTCCTAAGTCTGGGGTCTGGAACCGCACCTTCTGGCCTGTATATATAATTCAGAGATTAAAAACCTTCCATTGCATCTTAAACAACATCAATTCTTTTCGATATATTTCAGTTTCTTTCCTGCATATATTTTCCTGAGAATTAAGTTATATGTCATATGTCATATATTTTGTGAAACATACATAAAATTATCAAATTACTTGACCGACAATGTATCTGTCCTTGATAGATAATTAGAGATGAGAACTAATCTTTGTTTGACCTACGTTTGTCCTTGAGAGAGGAGTACAGAGATGAAGAGTAAGCTTTGTTTGACCTATGTTTGTCCTTGAGAGAGGAGTACAGAGGTGAAGAGTAAGCTTTGTTTGACCTACGTTTGTCGTTGAGAGATGAGTACAGAGGTGAAGAGTAAGCTTTGTTTGACCTATGTTTGTCCTTGAGAGAGGAGTACAGAGGTGAAGAGTAAGCTTTGTTTGACCTACGTTTGTCGTTGAGAGATGAGGACAGAGGTGAAGAGTAAGCTTTGTTTGACCTATGTTTGTCCTTGAGAGAGGAGTACAGAGGTGAAGCGTAAGCTTTGTTTGACCTACGTTTGTCCTTGAGAGATCAGTACAGAGGTGAAGAGTAAGTTTTGTTTGACCTACGTTTGTCCTTGAGAGAGGAGTACAGAGATGAAGAGTAAGCTTTGTTTGACCTATGTTTGTCGTTGAGAGAGGAGTACAGAGGTGAAGAGTAAGCTTTGTTTGTCCTACGTTTGTCCTTGAGAGAGGAGTACAGAGGTGAAGAGTAAGCTTTCCGCTGTTTCCGTTCCGCTGCAGCCTCAATTGCACGCTTCCTGAGAGCCTCACGCTTCTTCAGTGTCTGTTAACAACCATTAGTGTAAGTGTTAATGTGTGTCTGCAATAGTTACTAATGGGTTTAGGGATAAAATGGTTATCAATCAGTAATTTGTTGATTATATAATAGAATTGTGTTTATAAATGATTTGTGTTAGTTATACCATGGAAAAATTATAAGTCATAACTAATTGTTAATATATACACTATATTACATTATATTATATGTTGTACAATATAGAACATTAATAACTGATATGAGAACACAAATTTAGTAATCAAACATTAGTTACCATTAGTTCCTACTAATATGGGTAAGACAGATGTTATGGTACTGCTACAGTTGTGCCAGCATGCATTAGTATCACAAACCTCATCCTTCCTGTATCCCATCTCTCACAATGTCACTGTCTCACCGCGTAGAAGGGGTTTGACCCCATAGTAGGGTTTGACCCCTTAGTAGGGTTTGACCCCATAGTAGGGTTTGACCCCAAAGTAGGGTTTGACCCCAAAGTAGAGTTTGACCCCATAGTAAGGTTTGACCCCATAGTAGGGTTTGACTCCATAGTAGGGTTTGAATCCAGACATGCTGGACAGAACTTACTTGTTATAAGGGGATATAAATTACCTATGATAACCTGAATATAAAAATATTTCATGAGGCAGCTAAGGCAGACTCTACATGTCTGTGAGTATGGGAGTGGTGAGAATGATAATAATTTGTAACCACAAGTCTGTGGAAGTGGGAGTGGTTGGGAGGGACGTTACCATGAGTCCATGGGTGTGTAGATGGTTGGGAGGGACGTTACCACGAGTCTGTGGGTGTGTAGATGGTTGGGAGGGACGTTACCACGAGTTTGTTGGTGTGGAGGTGGTTGGGAGGGATGTTACCACGAGTCTGTGGGTGTGTAGATGGTTAGGAGGGACGTTACCACGAGTCTGTGGGTGGGTAGATGGTTGGGAGGGATGTTACCATGAGTCTGTGGGTGGGTAGATGGTTGGGAGGGATGTTCCCACGAGTCTGTGGGTGTGTAGATGGTTGGGAGGGACGTTACCACAAGTCTGTAGGTGTGTAGATGGTTGGGAGGGACGTTACCATGTGTCTGTGGGTGTGTAGATGGTTTGGAGGTACATTACAACGAGTCTGTGGGTGTGTAGATGGTTGGGAGGGACGTTAGCACGAGTCTGTGGGTGTGTGGTTGGTTGGGAGGGACGTTACCACGAGTCTGTGGGTGTGTAGATGGTTAGGAGGGACGTTACCACGAGTCTGTGGGTGTGTAGATGGTTTGGAGGGATGTTACCACGAGTCTGTGGGTGTGTAGATGGTTGGGAGGGATGTTACCACGAGTCTGTGGGTGTGTGGATGGTTGGGAGGGATGTTACCACGAGTCTGTGGGTGTGT